AAAACCTTGAAGTATTATATATATATATATATATATATATATTTAATACGAGTGATAATTCAATCTATTTTTTTATTAATAGTTCGCTTCATTCATTACAACAACAAATATTTCAATTAAAAATGAACAATAAATTACTTAATTAGTTTGAGTGGATTATATTGAATGAATAATGAATCACGAAATATATTTTTATAATTTATTAGGCCATGTAATCCAAAATTCTTTGGTTGGACATAGGTCTTTGGGGGATAGATCTTAAATTATACAATATTTTGGTACATAAATTTTAAATTTGTTTTATTAAAAAAAATATAATAACTTTAAATGAATGGGTTGAATATCCATTTAAAAAGAAAAATAGTAAATTGCTTAGATGATCGTTAATTATGAATGGAATGAATTATTATAATGCATGTTTAATAAATCATAGATAATTAATAGTTAATTTTTATCCATCTATCATAATATAATTCGAAAGTTATTAAATTCATTTAATTGACCCATATTATCTACAATACAGTAAATAAATTTTATCTAACAACTAAGAATTAATATTTATTGATAAAAAAAAAATTTTATTTTTATGCATAACATAATAACATATGTCTCTCACTCAATAAGTAACTCATTCTTGAATATGTAGTACTTTAAATAGTTTATAATCATTTTATTTCACACAAAAAAAAACTTAGTTTATCAGTTAGAATTATGAAAATGACAAGAAGAGTATGTGTTACTAATTTAAGTATTTGAAATAGTTTTTTTTTTCAATCAAAATTAAATGAAGACAACAAAATTTAAATCTATAATTTTGTGTATACTAGAATCTTAGGCCAAACCTAATAATTATAGTTAATATATGTTGGGAAAAGATGACAAATAATAACAATTAAACAAAAACAAAACTAAATTTCCTTTTTCCTCATGCAAATAACAATAAGCTCTAGAAGTAACAAGATAATTTCAAGTGTATGCATAAAATAGAAGAAAAAAAATTAATAGACACCAAATTTTTACATGGGAAAACTGTCAATGTGAAATAAAAAACCCCACGGGACCTAATTTAATAAAAGAAAAATCCACTAATAATAATTAATGATTGCACCACAAGTCTTCTTATAATCACTAGAGATCACTGGAAATAAATCTTCACTAATAGGATGGATAACAATACAAGAAAATCTTAAATGGGTATCTAACAAAACAATAAAAAGAACCAAAATACATAGAAAATTAATACCAAACATTTTTTCTCCAAGTTGATTGCTATACTCATTCTCAATAAATTTTTCTCACCATTTCACGAAGAGACACAAAACTCATGTATTACTCTCTGATTTTTTTTTCTCTTTCTCTAGGTTTGATTTCATTCAAAGAGTCAACACACCTATGCTAATAAAAATTACATTGTTGAAAATATTGGACTTTTGGCCTATTCTGCAAAATGTAGCATTTTTTTAAAAGCAAAATCATAGCCAAAATAAAATTGGTGATCTACCTAATAATATACACAAAATATATTTGAGATCATTCTTAGCGCATGGCTAATAACCATTCCAATCTTGAACATGCCACACATTTTAACAAAGAAAGAGAGAGAATACAATTGTGCAAAGAGTTAGGATTTGTTGACACCAAATATAAGTCTAAAAACTTACACCATATTTTTTTATCTTTAATAACTTTTTGTATAATGAAAATTTAATTAATCCAACCATTGAATTATGTGATATTATCCAAATCATGTATATAATATTACATATGATTTCAAAATTATTTAGTAATTCATCACATGACTTTAGTTTAATGTATAATATGATATTTAAAATATATGTACATATTCATTTTTGGATAATAGGTCTAGAAAATTTCAAATCATGTGAAATTTGATATACACGATTTTGAGTATAATATCAAATAATTCAACATAGTTGAATTAATTAAATTTGTATTATACAAAAAGTTATTAAACATATAAGATTTGGTATAAGTTTTTATGTGTGTGATTAGCTAGCCTTATCTCACATTGGGAGACATATCTCAAAACCCTTGTTTTGCTTATTGTTCCTTATGTATGGTTTGCGTGAGTATGGTTTGCGTGAGGATCATAAAGATGACGATGTTAATGATGAAGCTTAGTGTAAACACCAATTTTATTCCATTAATCCTTTTACTAATTTCTTTCTCAAAATTTCCAAATTAATTATTTAATAACAAGTAATTTACAAACCAGATTTTAACTTAAATAAAAATATATACAATAATAATAATAAAAGAAAATCAGAAAAAGACAAAGGAAGAGGGAAACAATATATGCCATAACCACCAACATGCCCCTAAGAGCATGCTTCTGTCATATATGCTTCCAAAAGCATGAGCTTGGCACCAACTGCCAAAGAACAATTAAAACGATAATGAGTCTATAAATAATAGAACATAACATGAACAAAAGAGGAGGAGCAAGGAAGAAATTTTTTCAAAGAGAGAGAACCAAGGATAACAACCAAATTTCAAGCGGGGAGAACTCAAGCAGATGGCAAAAGAAGAGGCTAAAGTAGTGCGGGTATCAATTACTCTCTTCGATTTTATTTAGTATGATGTTGTTCTTATGATATAGAATGCAAATTAATTTCTAATCAGTAAAACAATTTTTTTTTTAGTGAATCTTTTACCATGAAATTGAAACCCTCATTCTGAAACCTTAGTAAAGCATTTAACAAATAAAAACTCAGTCAAAATAGAAAAATAGATGAAAATAAAATATAAAAAACTAATGAATAGTACCAGGGAATGCAACGGTGCTTCCTCTGAACACCATCATGCACCACTGTCGGAAGCGATTTCCGGCCATCGCGAGTATCGCCGTGCACCGCCACGCGCCGCCATCGAAGGCAATTTCCGGTGGCGGCATCGTTAGCCTTTAGCCTCTTCCATGGACCCTTACCATGCGCGACCGTGACAAACCATCATAAACACCACCGTGCACCACCGTCGGAAACGATTTCCGGTGGCGGCAATAACCCTCTACTTTCCTCTGTTTCTCTCTTTAGTCGTCTTCTCCTTTCCTCTGCATGACTGACCTACCACCTTAACCACGCCGATGCCATAGCAGCGGTCCATCGCGCCATCAACGTTTGCGGAGGGAGGTCGCGCGCAAAACCCTAGCAGAGCGCCTCTCCCACTCCTCTCAGATCTCATTCTTTTCTATTTTTAGGGTTAATGAAATGGCCAAGTGCCATCTGATTACCCTCTTTTCTTTCCAATTTGGGCCAAGCATATGGGCTAAGCCCATTCAACAAACAGTTAATTTTTTTTTTCAGACCCTTAATATCATATTTATTTTTTCTTTCTTTTCCTTTTACCTCGCTAGTGATAATATATTTTACTAAAATAATATATTTTATAGTTATAATTATAATAATATTATATATGTATATATAAAAAAGTAGTATACATAATTAATATATATATATATTAATTAGATCCTTACGTAACTTTAAAATATGTTTAGTAGGTTTAGATAATAATAATAATAATAATAATAATAATAATAATAATAGTTACTATAATAATAATAAATATCAATAATAATGATAATAATTATTATTATTATTAAAAAATAAATTATTTGAATGTGACATTCTCTTAATTCTAGAGCTTAAAGGTGCAGGTTGTGAAAATTTGTTATTTTAAAGTTTTTTTATTTAAAATATAATTAAATATCAAAAAATATTATCACATAATTCAACATAAATATTCGAAGTTATTATATCAAAGATTTTATTTGAGAAATGGTTAATTAGATGTGACATCTTTTTAAACCTTTGAATTTAAGATACAAGTTGTAACAACTTGATATTTTTAGATTTTTCTCCAAATAAAAATATCCAACAAAAGAATCTTTTAAGTATATATCGTAGTAACATTAATATCGATAATAATAATTAATTAAAATTAAGTATTTTATTGAATTGACTTTGGTGTACACCTTAATCAATTTTATATTTTAAGGTGAATGAGCTGAAACAGTTCAAAAATCTTAAATTTAATAAAAAATAATTAAACATATATCAACACACAAATATTTTTTACAAAGAACTACGTGACTCTGATTCTCCATTGCATATGGAGATATGTAGGAGCAGGAAATAAATCTTGTCGAGCCAAAAAATAATAATATTATCTTTTTTATATAATAATTTTGATTTTTATAAAAATAAATGCATTAGTTAAATAAAATAAATTTGATTGTTATAGTTAGTTTTAATTAATCTAGGGTGAGATAAATATTTTATAAATTATAAATAATTTGTCTAATTAATTAAAGGTAATCATCTTGGGATGAACGTTGTGAGGTGTTAATACATTCCTTACATGTAATCGACTCCTGAACTCGAAAATATGATTTTTGTAGACCGTTTTTTACTTTGCGATTTTTCTAATGTTTTTCCATAAAAATATATATTAATGACGATTTCATTGTTTTAAATTTTATATTTGTCATCTCGTTGCGATCTCGATTACAACACTTAGGCCTTAACTTGTTTATGAATAAAGCTTTGATAAGACATGACATTAAAATTATTAGTTTATTTAGGATTTATTGCATGCATTTCTTAGTTATTTTAACTTGTTTAGGATACTTGTTAGTCTTTTGAACTCGTGAATGTTTTGGATGACCACTTTGGCCTAATGGTTTACCTCCATGTTATTCCCAGATTTTAGAAGTTGTCTTATAAACATGAATACTGAATCTTCTATCTTTAAATGTGTTTTGTGAATTTTCTTAGTTTTAATTAAAAAAAAATGTATTCAAATTGTTTATTCTTCAATTATTATTATAATTATGATCATATAGGATAGATGATATTACAATAAACTTTTCAATTGTTTAATCTCATTTTGAAATAGATAATATAATTTAAATATAAAAAATTATTTTTAGAAATGATACTTTGAAATGCACATGAAGATAAGATAACTTCTATAGATATGTCAATTCAATGAAGTTTTACACCCAATAAACCATAAAATGAAAATTCCTATCATAATTTATGTTTGGAGAAATTATTTATTAAATTAATTTCATCAATAGCAATCAACAATTAAATATTTTTAAATTTGACCTATTTATATATAATTATATATATATATATTATATATATATATATATATTGCACGGGTTTTAAATTTTTATCACACTAACTATCTCCTTCTACAAAAATAATGACCCAATAATTTAAATAAAGTTATTTTTCTGATAATATAATAAATAGGAACATATATGATTAGATACACTTCATAATTAATTTTATTAACTAAAAAAACTGGAATTATTCTTTTATTTCTTTAATATTCTTCATACTTGCAAAAAAATATAATAAATAGAAATATATGATAAGATCCTTTTATAATTTCTTATATTAACTAAAAGGAGCTGAATATTTTTTAATATTTTCCATGACGAAAAAACTGTACATAATTTACTACTAGAAAAGTGTCATTTTCCTGCAAAAAAAATATTCGCAGAAATTTTTTGTGAATTTATTTGCGAAAAATAATTTACAAATATTTCTTACAAATTTTACTACAATTTTAATAATCATAGAAATTTTTTTTCATGGTAAAAATTTGCAGAAAAATATTGTAAGAATTTTATTTTGTTTCTTGCATATTTTCTTGCAAAAATAAATTCGCAAGTAATGTTTACTAAATGATAGAAAAATTTTGCAGGTAAATTTTCCTGCGGATTTTCCTGCAAATTTTAATCCGTAGGAAAAATAAAAAAAAATATTTAAATTTATAAGTTTAATATTTTAAAAAAACTTCAAGTCCCACACCGATTAAAAATAAAATAATTAAAGAGTATATAAGTTGGGGCAACACTTACCTTACAAGTTGATTTGTATGGTTGAGTGTTAGGCTTATAATCTACAATCTTAGAATTTAAAAGATTATGTATCACATGTTGGAGGCATGAAAACAAATGTTTCGGATGAATTCATTGTGAGCATCTGAAAGTTGAAGAATTATTGATAAAATTTATAATAATTTCTTGCAAAAAATTTCGCAAAAAAATTTCCTGCGAATTTTAAAATTTGCAAAAATATATTATCCACGAAGGTATTACCTATAAAATTTCACAGAAAAATTTGTAGGAACAACGTTTCCTGCGAATTTTTATGAAAAATTCGCAAGGAAAAGTCTCATGTAATAAGAAAAAATTTAGTAGTGATTTAATGAGTCACTAAGTGAATGAGTTTATACTTTGTAATATATATATATATATAATTGAGTAACTATTAAGGTACAAAAGAAAACAACAAAAACTTCATGTACCAAGTTTGAAAATAAAATGAAAACTCCAATAAGTGGAGAAAACTCTAATAAAATATCTTTTACAAAAAAAAAAACTCTAATGAGAGGTGAAAGCTTCACATGCAAAGATAACTGATTATGGTTCATGAAATGGGTGATAATATGTAGCTAATAACAAAGAAAAATGAGAGAATGAAAAAAAATAAAAATTTTGCGCGCAAAAATATATAATCTATTGGAGTGTTATTTATTTTAAACTCTAATGCAACATTTTTTGTATATTTAATTATAAATAAATAAGCAATGATTTATAAATTTCATGTAAAATAAATAAATAACCATTTAAGAGAACAATTTTAAATTATTGTCTTCAAAATATATTTTTTCAATTATATCAAGAATATAACTAATAGTTCTTTATTAAGATCGAGTACAATGACTTTTTGCTATTATAGAGACACGTAATATTGTTGGTCAAAAAAGTTGTACAATGACCTAATTTTAGAAAGAAAATTCTAGATGTTCCGAATTATATTCTGAAAATTCTTTTGAAATCTTAAAAAAATATTTTAAATTATAAAATATTAAATTAAATAATTATTTTATAATAATTTTATTAAAAATATAAATATTTTAAACATTCGAACGTGTTTCGAATTTTTTGATTGGAGGATGTAGTAATCCTCTTTTAGAAATGTAAGGTCCAAATTTAGGATGTTAAAATTGGTGTTAAAAACCTTCATTCTAATACTCAACACTAGCAAGAGAAATTAGAAACATTGAAATAGGCAAAAAGAACATTGAATGCGAATTTTAGTATGTTATAAAATACAATTTTGAGGCCTAATATATAAGTTCAAAGAAATTTCCATTATTATTTTTTAAGATGAGTTTCATTCTTAAACCTCTATTTTCTCTAAAATCCTAATATCTCATTTTATCCTTTGAATATTCAAACCTAAGCAAAAGGTTCTTGAAATGCAACTATCATCATCCATATTCATATTATTCCCTATTATTTTGTTTTAATTTAGTTTTTTTATATTTTTTATGTTAAAGGATAAATGAATTCTACAGAAATCCTATATAATTAAATCTTTTATATTTAATGCTAGTTTCATGGTGTAAACTGTTTTTCTATACTTCTAATATTTTTCATTAATTAGTCACTAATGAAATGATTAAAATTTGAGTTTACAATGAGAAATCTAAAAATGTAGTTAAAATAAAATTGAAATTAATTGTCATGTTTTGAGTTTAGTGTAGGGATAAAACTGCATAATGAATGTATTCTTATAAAATTTTGGCTTAATGCTCAAGTTAATCATCATGGGAAAGGAAATTAGAGAAGTGGGTGTTAAAGGGATTACACACCTAATATTTGGCCTAATTTTGTTTAGTTAATACGATATTCAATACTTTTGAAGTAGCTTGTATTGAATAAGGTAAAATTACACAACGCAATTTAAAAAAAATTAACTTTTACCTGAAAAGTGTATTAACATAGATACAACAATAAGAAGAGATAATACAAAAGTGGAAAGTATAAAAACAAGTTTCATTTTGTATCACTAAAACTTAAAAATTATAAACATCAATATTTTATACTTGATTAGAATTTTGGTAATTCACATTAGTGAAAAAAAATACTTTTAAGATAATTATTTTTCACATTTAAAATAGGTTCTTTAACCAATCCTAAAAGAGTCGATTTTAAAAGGCTAGACCTACAATATCGATTATCAACCAATCTTAAAAGTGGATTTTTAAGTTCGGTTCACCATAAGTAATATTAAAAGTCGTATCTTTTAAAATTGATTATAAGACAACCGATCATAAAATTAAGCTTTTAAGATCAGTTGTGGCATAACCAATCTTAAAAGTGGTGATTTTTTGTTTTGAAATATTTGG